ACAGCTGGGGCTACAGGGAGACCCTGTCTCAAAAAGACCAAAAAACAAAAAAACAAAACAAAACAAAAAGAGATGGCTGTTCAGTATGTTAAATGAAAATATTTAGATGTTTGTATGTGTGTGAGACAGGGTCTCCCTGTAGCCCCACTGGACTGGAAATCGCTGTTTAAACCAGGCTGGCCTCAATCTTACAGAGATCCATCTGCCTCTGCCTCCTGAGTGTTGGGATTGATGACATGAGTCACCAAACCTAGCTATTTTTGAGATGTTTATGAACAATGTTGTTGGGCCTGGTGCATAGCTCAATGGTAAAATATTTCCTCAGTCTGGGTTCCAGTCCCAAAACAATGAAAAAAAGTTATTATTTTTTTCTGGTCGATTTTGATAACAATTATTATTATAATTATTTTGTAACTAGGAGTCTGAGAAATTGTTACCATGGTTTCCTAACTTTGTCTTTTGAACATTTGTCTTTAAAATTTTTTAAAATTTACATTCATTTGTTGATTTTGCTTGTGTGTCAGTGTGCCTTTACTCTTAGGCTTGCACAGGTTAGAGGTGCGGCACTGGAGGTCAGAGAACAACCCGAGGGAATTGGTTCTCTCTTTCCATCATGTAGATTCCTGGGGTCAAACTCAAATCTCCTGGCTTGTCCATAAGCACTTTTACCCACTGAGCCATCTTGTCAGTCTGTCTTTGTAAAAATCTGGAATTGGTAATACAAAATATATCGGTCCAAGTGTCCCCCAGAGTTGGGGCGAAGTGGCCCCCTCCTCTCCTGGTTTCCCTGCCCCCTCTTGGAGGGTAAGGACTGTGACTAGTGTGTCATGCATTTTCATGCGCATGAGTTCACAGGCAAATGTGTGTGTCTTTCCTCAGTCTTTATAAATACACTCAGACATGCGGAGAAGCAGGTGTATTAATTTACAGCATGCTTTTTTCAGAATAGTCCGTTTAGATAGTTTCACTTCAGCATTCACTTATTTATTTATGTGAGGAAGGAATTTAGGGCCTTGATCATGCCCAGCACTCTCTACTGCTGAGTTACATTGAACCAGAGTCCTTTTTAAAATAATATTTTGTCATTCATTTCTTTTTGTTGTTTTGAGACAGGGTCTCCCTGTAGCCCCAGCTGGCCTGGAACATACTATGTAGACCAGGCTGACCTCAAACTCATAGAGATCTACCTACCTCTTCCTCCCAAGTGCCAGAGTTAAAGGTGTGGGCCACCATGCCCAACCTTTTTATTAAAAAAGATTTTGTTTATTTTTATTTTATGTGTATAAGTGTTCTGCCTACATGTATGTAAGTGCACCACATGCATGCAGTGCCTGCAGAGGCCAGAAGAGGGCATCGAATCCCCTGGAACTGGAGTTGCAGATAGTGGTTAACTGCCATGTAGGTGCTGGGAACTGGACCTGGGTCATCTGCAAAAGCAGTCAATGCTCTTAACTGTTAAGCCACCTCTTAAGCCCACTCCCATTAAAAAAATTATTTCATTTTTGAAATACATTTATTTATGGTGTGTTTGTGGGTATCATGGTGTATATGTGGCAGTCAGAGGATAACTTGCAGGAGTCAGTTCTCTCCTTTCACCATGTGGGTTCTGGGGATTGAATTCAGGTCCTCAGGCTTGGCAGCAAGCTCCTTTACTTGCTGAGCCATCTTGCTGGCACTATTAACTTTTTTGAGACAGGGTCTCATGTAGCCCAGGGTGGCCTCTAACTTGATATTTAGTCAAGCATGATCATGAACTCTGGTTCCTCCTCTTCCACCTCCAGAGCACTGGGATGACAAGCCTGGGCCACCACTACACCCTGCTTCAGATACTCTGTATTAAGATACTCAGAGCATAACCTACCACTCCCTGATTTCATTGCCTCACCTGCCTGGGTCAGGGGTGTCTTCATTTGTTTAATTTAATTTATTGCTGGAATACAACATGTATGTACTTGTTACAAGAGTCAGAATGTAGAAAGGACTTGCAGCATGCAGGCAGAGCTGCCTTCTGTCTTGTCCCACATCTCTCATCTCCTCCTCCAGGAAATTGGCCAGTTTCATTTTCCTGCAGTATAGTAGACTCTGCACTTAAATAGACTCTTAGCTCTAGGGACTCTTGGGTTCTTTACTGATATGTCTCTGGCTTTTAGTTTTTGGAACATAGTAGTGCTTAATTGGCAAGTAAACATGTAAGCTGATTTTGTTCCACTTGCACAAATGGTACCTATTTTATTTTTTATTTTCCATGCTGGGGATGGAACATAGGACTTTATGCATGATAGGCAGATGCTCTCTACCCCTGAACCATGTCCCCAGCCCCTCCTAGGCTGTCACCCTACCTTTGAGTATGCCCCATCTCCTAACTGGAGCGGGGGGAGGGGGTGTCCTAGGCTGTCTCTCTACCTTTGAGCATGCCCCAGCCCTTCCCTGGGGTTTCTAGGTCATGGTTCTAGCACTTCTGTCACACTGGTCTTAATCAAATAGGTCCTGAGGGCTAGAACTTTCTAGTGGATGATCTTGAACTCCTGCTTCTGCCTCCACCTCTGAAGTTCTAGGATCACAGACACATCACTGTGGTCTGCTTATTTATTTATTGGTTTGCTTGTTTTGTGGTGCTGGTGATGGAAGCCAGAGCCTGATCCTCTTGCTGTCACCTCCGAAGTGCTGGGATTTTAGGTGCCCACACCACTACCACCCTTGGTTTATGTGGTGCTCGGAATGGAACCCGGGGCTCTAAGCATCCTAGTAGGCAAGTGCTCTACCCACTGAGCCACATCCTTAGGCTTTTTTGTTTTTTTATTTTATGTATGTGAGTGTTTTTCCTGCATGTGCGTAAGTGCACGTGTGTGCAATGCCCGAAGAGGCGTTAGATCACCTGGAACTGGCGTTATAGACCGTCGCTAGCTGAACCTGGGTCCACTGCAAGAGCAGCAGGTGTTAAGCACTGAGCAGGCTCTCCAGCCCCTATCATTTCTTAGGGCCTCACTAGCCCAGCTATCCTGGGTATGTGGCTAAAGATGAACCTAAACTCCGGATCCTCCTACCTCCCAAGTCCCAAGATGGCAGGTGTGTGCCACCACTCCAGGCTGGAATTTTAGAGTATCAAGGCAATCAACAGTTCTGTTTGGGGGGCAGGGTGTGGCACAGAGTAGGAATTCATTTCTTTATGGGGACACACCGTAGGTGCTTAGTCTCAATTTGCTGAGCCCTATAGCTAAACCGGATTTCTGTGATCCTGGAGATGAGCTTAGAGTGTATTTGGAATTATTTAAGTTTGGGGCCACCTGGGTAAGCGAGCTGTGACATCACGAGAACCCGTGACGTCACACGAGGGCCGGTTCTCACGGGTGGGGGCTGGGAAGACCAAGGCGGGAGGTGGCGAGGGGTTATGGACAAAGGGGCCAAGCTTGCTGCGTCCGTCGTCCTCTGCGCGCCCTGGGCTGGGCTGACTGGCTGGCGGGCCACATCTGGAATTCATTGCAGTCGCCGCCGGAAAGAGGAGGAGAGGAGGGCGGGGCAAGCAGGGAGGGGGGGCCCGAAGCGGCTGCTCTTCCCCGCCTCCCTCTTGTTCTGGGTCCCCAACTCCTGGGACGTTCACCGAGACCAGCAAACAGCCTCTAAACCCAGCCACTGGCTGTCTCAGGGACTCAGGCGCCAAGGGCCACCTCCAGCCAGGGCAGGGGAACCCCGGCGGGCTTAGCCAGGTGAGCGCAGGGTGAAGGGGAGAGGCTGAGGTCGGGGACGGGCCGCGGTGCACTGAGACAGCCGAATCGGCGCTGGGGTGGGTGGGGGCCCAGCCCCGGAGTCAGGGGCACAGACAGGCGTTGCACGCAGCGGCGGTGACTGCTGCACGGAGTGCGACTGGTCACCGTGCGCCCCTCTCCACTACCCTCTCCAGGCCGGCTCCCCACCCACTCGGCTGTGCACCCCCAGACCGAGCTCCCCGCCTTCCCCGGGGCAGGAAGTTGGCGCCGAAGAGAAAGGCGGAATCCGAGCGCTTAGGGTTGGTTACTTTGTAGGACAGGACCGGGTCCTAGGCAGCCGGATTACCCGGGTGGGATTGGAATAGAGGGGTGCAGCACCCCCTCTTGTCTCTTTGGGGCTTGGGCTGGGACGAAATGTCCTACGTACGCTCGGAAGACGCCCCAAGTTCATGGGCGGGGTCCCCTGGAAAGACAATTGCGCCATTGCCTGAGCTTTCTGCCTCAGTTTCCCCAAATTTCCCCTCCGGTTCTCTTTCAGGGCCGTGTCTTTATTCTAGAAAGAAAGGGACAATAACTGCGAGGTCTAGGAGCCTCTTCTTCCCCATCTAGTCCAGAGATGGGACGGGGCGGGGGTGAGGAAGAAGACACCGGTGGCGTGAACTCCGTGTTGTCAAGGGCCACGCAGCCTTGGAACTTCGCCCCCTTCTCTTGCCCGGGTTGACTCACTCGGGGATTTCCACCCCATCCCTCCTCCTCATCTCTGTTCTTGTCGATCACCCCAGACTACACCGCTTGCCCACTGTCCCCCCACGTGCCGCAACGCGGGAGCATCACGGGGCTGGGGGAATGCAGCTGTTCCTGCAGATGCTGTAGCTGGGATCTCCCCCTCTCCCCAGTCTCCCTGGGAATCTACAGGTGGGGGACCCCCGGCGGGATTCAGAGGTGTCGCCTCCCGCCAGGAGGAGGGGAGGGTTCCACGCGCTGGTGGCTGGGTTTCGGGAGAGAGATGGCGCCGCCCCAGCACACGAGTGTGGATACCGCACATTCCTCCGCCTGATAAGGAGCCGGAGAGTGCGGCCAGGATGGGGAGGTCCTGCCGCCGTCGCCATGGAGATGGGCTGGCTTCTCCTGGAGCGTACAGGGGCTGGTTTCTCCCCAGTGTGTGTGTGTGTGTGTGTGTGTGTGTGTGTGTGTGTGTGTG